TTGCAAATTTTATTTTTGCCATTAGATAGTTTATGAGCGGCATACTGGGGCTATATAATATGACTCACAAGTGTAGCTTTTACCATAGACCCTTCCCCATTTTACTTTTCTTTGAGTGCATTCTTTTCAATTAAGTGCACGTAAACAATTTGATATGAGGTACATTGAGTTATTCGAAATAAGAGAAGAATGAGACATGAGAGATGACTTTCCATTTCAATATGTAATTATACGTACAAAATTAAACTATTCTCTTAGTTCCTCCCGCTACATGGGGATGAAAAGGCGTTTGTATATGTTTAGTATATTCAACGAAGACGGCATACTTTAAAATATGCATGTAAACTATGAATTTATGAATGTGAAAGTGATGTAATGACCTTCACTAAGTGTCGTACTGGATTATGCAGTCTATAATAGAACACCGGGCTCCTGCCATCCTTGACTCTAATCATTTTGGAGTAAAAATAAAAGTGTTTAGAATTGGCACGTACATTCAAGTGTGCCTCAGGCCGTGTACATGTTGTATTAAACAGTGAAAATGACAAAATATTTAGTTTTAAAAATACATTTGGTCATTAATTGTGTATAGCCCTTTTCAAAGAGAGTCTGTGGAATAAAAGAAAGAAACTCACAAATAATCCCCAAAATATATATTGGGGGGGGGGGTATTTTCTGGCTTATATAAATTGTATATATTTTTATATACACTCTGTACAAAATAATCAGCGCAGTCATTTGCTTTAGGAAGCAATATATCTTGTTGTCCAAAACATTTTAAATGGGTAGTCCGAAATCATACCACGAGGTTACTTGAAAAGGCATACCCATATATACCCACACAGTAATGTGGTGTAGCTATCTAGGTCGACATTGAACCTGAAGGAGAATATTCCAAATTGCAATCTTCCAAAAATGTCAAGAAAACGACAAATCAATCTCGACCGCTGTCGCCTGCTTTCGATTTGTTTACGTTGTAAAGGCGGGAAACTAATAATTAAGTCTTCGACATGAAATATGTCGCGTTGTGCTGAGACAAATCAGCTTAACGAACATGATATTCTAGCGAGCAATTCGTTTCACTAAAGATACAGCTGGTAATTTCTTATCTTATATATATCAAAGGTATTAAGATATGCATCCTCTATTAATGAAAACGATTGATAAAGAAACATGCAAATATTCTAAAATAAGTAGGATGGTTCGTATGAGATACAACCAGTAATTTCGTATCCGATATATTCGCGTTATGCTGAAATATATATCTCTTTCAAAAAATCACATGTATCGTTTTAAATATCAGCTCAATAAACACAATACCCTAACAAGCAGGATGGTTTGTCGCAGATAATTATAACCAGCGATTTCTTATCCAATGTCAATATTGCCATTCTCAACATGGTTTGCACAGTGACAGTTACACATGGAGTTAAAGCTGGAACCATCGTAGTTTAATAATACAGAATCTCTATCTGCACACTCAAAAACTAGTGTTCAAACTATACCTTTTTCATTTCAAGAATATGGAAATGTACTCAGGATCAATACTTAATTTCACGTGTTCTACAAGATTAAGAACAACTCGTCTTGTTTACCAACCTTTTTCCTCCGCGTTATTTGATTTATCAATTTAGATCGGAGGAAACAGCGGTAACATGTATACTAGGGAAGTTGGATTCAAAATGAGGAATTGATCGAAAGTTCTTTAAAATCATTGTACCTTGTCTCTTCGTGAAACATTAGGAGCCTAAGACTTGAAATCTAGTCGGAATTATTGTGCTTCAACCGTAGTATGCATGATAGATATGCATCGATACATGTGACAGCAACAAAGGAACTTGTAAGGGTATGTTTTTTTCTCTATTCTTTTTCTAGAATTTATTTGATTATATTTTATTGTTTGAACAAAATAAAGACTCTCGAAATACTATTCATGGAAAAAAGGTATGTATTACGCATTTTTGTGGTGATGAAAGTTAATACATTTTATTTGATTTGATTTAAGCGTAGATTCGAGTAGGTTGATGACATTATTGTTATTATTTTTAATCATTATTATTGTTATTATTATTATTATCATTATTATCATTATTATCATTATTATTATTATTATTATCATAACTATTTTTATTATAATTATTTATATTATTATTAGAGCAACGCGTGTAAACCTGGTTACTATGTCTCCAAATTTAATTTTCAAGCATTTTAAAAACAGACAAAAAAGGTGTCGTCAATTAATGTGACTTCTAGGAGAATAATAATTCCGTATGCATAACGCGTCATAACGTATGATTCGTATCAAAGTACAATACTGGTCAATACACCAGTAAAAACAGAGTGAAATGAAGGATACATACATTAACTATTCAAACGACATGAAATACTTTATGTGCAGACACTTTGAAAAATCACATCAGAAGCACAGTAAAGGTTAATGATCATTTTAGATTAATTCACTTAGCGTGCATGAATATTACTGATGATGCATTCACGAGGCTCATCATTTTAGTTTAGTAGCGACCGTGTGCTTTTTATTCTTCACAATATATGCTCTGTGCATGAGAGTGGAAAACGTTAAACATATGTAATTTAGATTTTGAAAAAAAGGCAGGATTCATTTTGTTGCAAATTTAGTTGATCGTTTAATTGAATTCAAAACCTTGTATGGTGTTGTTCATGGTCGGATATTTCGTGAAATGTCTTTTTTCTTAGACGGTGCAGCTGGACTGAAAGTAATTTGTTATTCAATTTCTAAAATTTGCGAAAGCTGTAAGATGACAAAATCCATAACTATCATTAAGTCAAGGCTACCTGTCTAGCAAAAGAAATCTCCTTGGTTTTCCCTTTAACTTTCCAATTTAGAAATATATGTTTAGACGTATTAACATTTATATAGAACGGTGCTATAACGAGATTATAATTATAATCAACACTAACCAATAAAAGTAAGATTCTATGAGGCATTTTGTCTTCTTTTCCACAGATAGTTCGGATAATACTTTAAAATTATACTAGTATGTTAAAGAAATATTGAGTTTCTTTATTGTATGTTTATGTGAAAATAATATTTTTTACATGCAGTTATTATTGTTATATTGTTTATACCTTACGTTTATATGTTCTTTGTTATTCAGTTATTGTATTTGGAAAAAATGCAGAAATAAGCTAAATCAAATCAAATCAAATTTATGTTCCAGGGTTGTATTCTACCCACACTGTATCAAATTTAAAGGAAAAAAAAAGAGGAAATCGATTTCTTTTCTTCAGATATTTCTAAGCTCTGTGAGAAGGAGTCGAACATGAAAAATCAGATAAGTCATATACCCATGAATAAATTATTTTATGAAATAAAAGACAGTGGCGTATCCGTGATTCTCTGGCCGTGAGAGAGGGAACTTGTCCGAAAATACACCCCATCCCCTTCGCGTTTGCCTTGATATATATATATATATATATATGTATATATATATATATATATATATATATATATATGTTTTTGAATTCTTTTTTGTTATATGATTGTTTGTTTGGTGTAAACTCGCATTTATAGTCTTTAGACTTTTTGACAAGATTGAATAAAACCTAATTTGAATTTGAACTTAAATTTGAACAAACATGAAAAAACAAAATCTTTCATAGTGATTTTCTGTCATAATTATTTGTCATCTCGTTTACCTTGAAAGTGATTGTAAAAAACGAAATGTAAGTGGAAGATCGCTAATTCCGGATGTTTTATAGATCGAGGTGGATGTGTTTAAATGCCCTGATTTCCGGGTTGTCCGATCCAGTCAAGAATAAAACACCTTGAGGATTACCGATTTTTGTTGCCAATAGATCATTATCTTGTTGGAGTACACGTATCTTGCTTGGGATTTATTGACTTATTATTGCACATAATATGCCTGACATATAGAGTTATTAACTAGCTCTTAGTGTATACAATATAATCTAAAAAGTAAAGCCATAATGAAACGTGTCGCTTTAGAGGAAAAAGTATATAACAACTAAAATATTTGTGATACTTAATATTCTACAAACTCGCTTTAAATCGATAAAACTCATTATACAGCATAAGGGTCGAGGCAAAATACCAAAAATAGACATCGAAATTATTCAGTTCTTATAAATTCATATCATATTTTATCTTATTATTGTGCCAACCGTTATTCGAAAACAAAACTCTCAAACACTTCTATCAGCAGGTAAAACCCTTTACTAATTACTAATTGGGTTGCCTTTTCTTTGGTGATAAATTGCTAAGAAATAAATATTTATGAAAATCTATTCTTGTACATAGTATAATGCTCCAATGAAGTTGATAATGAAAAAAATACATCTTATCGACGAACAATCGTTTTGCATTCTTCAGCTGCCATAAAATGATACTTTTCGCCTTCTGCAGGCTATTGTATATAGTAAAACCAAAATTACGCTTTGGAAAGCAATCTTTCATATACATATCCTTTAATTACAAACGCTTATTATCAATAGCTGTACAAGCCACATTAAAAGATGTGAGAGTATTTTTGAAAGAAGAATTCATTTTTAGAAGGGCAAAAAGAAAGGTCAAGACTAAGAGGGAAACTGATAATAAAATGAGAGAGGAGCATTAATAAGATATATGGTGAAATGACACTGCAAGAGCGTAGTAGAATGGCATAGAACAGAGATGTGTGGGAACAGGGTTACAGTCACCGTCCAAGCTGGGAGAAGATACTTGGATAGATAGATTAATAAATTAAAGCATACCTTAATTTATTTATTATGTGCAATAACTTTATTATAGCACATTCTTATTCATATCAGACTCAACAGTTTCTTTGACTTTGTATACATTTCTGTTATTCATCTGTTGGTATTTTTAATTATATTTGAAAATCCAACCCCAAGTTGGTTTTGGTTGCAATAAATAAATAATTATTCATAAAACATTTTATTTATTTATTTTTTAAATTTTTAGATATCATTCTCTTCTTCCCTCTATCTTCTATCCAGCACTAAACGCAGGGAGGTGGAGAAGAAGCAGAAGAAGCTCCATCAAGCGGGCGACCGGGCGCTGAGCAACATGCGACGTCGGGCTTACGACTCCTTCCTGGTGACCTCGGGGGCCAAGGAGCACGACCTCCTATCCAAAGACGAGCTCAACTTCCTCCAAGCTGCCGAGATCGGTGATCTCCCCACCGTGAAGCAGATGCTAGAGAGCGACGACCTCGCTCCCAAGCTGCTGAGATGCACGGATTACAAGGATAGAACAGCTCTTGAGGTACTTGTATTGTTATTTTTTGTTTTGTTTTGTTTTGCGTATAGTGGTTCATCCAAAAACAGGGCACTAATTACGTACACTAAATACACATTAACAAGGCAATCTATTTAAAGGAGGATTCAGAAATGAGTCCACCTTCTTTTCTTGTCCCGAAACACCTCTCTTGTTTTGCCTAATCCCCCCCCCCTCCCATTCGATAATTGCGTATTGCCCACACACCTACGCCACAGCCACCGTTTTCACGGACACAATATTTATGAAGGATAAGAGGATAAGATACAATATTTAATTGATCCATTTTTCATTGTCATCCAAAAAAGGTGACAACAATTATGGTTACATCAGATTCTAAGACAATTTTCCAGGGCTGTCGGAAGGTGCGGGGGTATTTGAGAATTACGAATTTACATTATTCGTGGGAAGCGTAATCTATACAGGTGTCAAAAGGGTTGCCATATATAGAACTAATCAAAAATTGAAATAAGTGATGCTTCCGTCAATTGGTGTCTATTGTTTTGTGCCGAATTGTACGTGTGGCAAATGAAATGTAAAAAAAAAATCTCCCACGAGTCTTCCTACCATCCATTACATTAGATTCATGTATGATATTATGTAGTAACCCTATACGGTATAAGACACACCCTTTAATTTTTCCATTTCAAATGTACTAGGTCTCAACGGAGAACGAACATCTGGAGATCGTCGAGTTCCTCGTCCAGAAGGGAGGTCGTAAGCTCGACATCCAAGCCATCCAAGAGTCTCTCATGCTCGCCATCAGCAAGGGCTATCTACGTATCACCCAAGCCCTGCTCAACCACCCCGTCCACCAACAAAGCAAGGATAAGTTCCGACTAGGCAGCCTGACCAACTATTACCAAAGAAAGAATAACAGCAAGTTTGCACAGGTAGAGTATGATAATCCTACGACATAATCTATTTTTAAGTAGAATGAAAAATCAAAAGGAGAGTAACGAAAGGCAGGATGGACAGACAAGCAGAGAAAGATATAGGTGATAGAATAAAATAGAATAGAACATAATGGAGCAAAGCTGCATGTATTTATTTCTCCTTTTATTATAGCAAAAAAATAAACAGATACGGAAACGAAACTTTGACTCCTCTTCGACCCTCCTTCCCCTGTTTCCTATAATCACCTTCTCTCAATCTCAATTTCCCTCCTTCCCTCCCTCTTTCCCTCCACCCATTCCTCTCTCCAGGACGTGACTCCTCTGATGCTAGCGGCTCACTGCAACGAAATCGACATCATCCGGTTACTCCTCAACCGCGGTGACACCATCAAAAAACCTCACAACTCACTTTGCCAATGCACCTACTGCAGCAACAAGAAACAGTTCGACCCTCTGAAGCATTCCTTAGCTGGGTTCAACACCTACCGTGCCCTGGCCAGCCCAGCGTTCATAGCCCTCACCAGCCCCGATCCGATCCTCACCGCTTTCTTGCTCAGTCAGGAGCTCGGAACCAATGCCAGGATCGAGAAGGAATTCAAGGTAAAATTGTCAAAGATAACCCAAAAGCAGGAACGTCAGTTCAGGATTTACTGTTGGGAGAAAGGGGGAGGTGACAAATTCTGTAAAAGCATTTAATATGATGTAAAAGTTCAAATCGTGTCTAGAATTCTAATTCAGAACCTTCCAATTATCTTCAGGATAATATGTTTAACGGGGCGTCGCAACCTATCCAATGTGACGACCTAGGAAAAATGAAATACATAAATTTAGTTGATGAGTGTCAATTGTAATTATCGTCTACAGGATTTGCTTTGAGAAGTACAGGGGTTGGCAGAAGAAAAGATTACATACTTGGATACAATCTTTGAGGAATAAATTGTGACAATGCTCTCCAGAGTCAGATATTTCGGAATAACCATGTTTTGGCCGATTGGAATTTCGTGAATGGTGGTGGAACCTCCACGTTTAAAAAATTAATATATATTATGTAGCTGTTATCATTTGCCATTGCATCTTATATCGATTGTATTACAATTTTTTCAGAATGAATATCGAGACCTTGCCCGACAATGCAAAGAGTTTGCCTCGGATCTTCTCGATATGTGCCAGAATTCCGAAGAGGTCCGAACGATCCTGAACAACGAGGCGAACACTCTCGACGAGTCTGAACACGAGAGGGCAACCAACTGGTTAAAGTCGGAAGTCGGGGAAGAGGGATCTTCGCGGACCCCAACCCTATCGCGTCTAAAACTGGCGATAAAACTCCGACAGAAACAGGTAAATGTCTTTGCAATGATACAATTATAGCTCAAAACAATTCTTAATTACTTAACCGTTTAAAATCTCTATGAGACTTCGCCTTATTGGCAAGTTATTGCTTTTGTTTTGTATGTATTTTTCATTAAAACACTTACTATAATACTAATCAGCGTGCCCACTCTTCATATTTTAATATCTGGAATTGTGTTTAATCATTCTTGTTCTCTCTAGGCTCTTGGCTCTCGGCATATTATGTTTATGCCTATGTTTATATTGAATGTAACAACAATGCGAAATTAAATTTCTGTATTATTATATGCACAATAAAACTTGAATATGAATACGAATATCAATATGATCCAGTTACGTATATAAAAAATCAAACGACATCACTCTTCACTGTCAGGATCTTCAACAAATCAATTACTGTATTTTGTTCCTCACTTTGTCGATGTTTAGTTCGTAGCACACTCTCACTGCCAACACGAGCTGGCAACCCTTTGGTATCGCAACTTTCCCAGCTGGCGATTGATGAGCTTGCCCAAGAAGGTCTTTGTCAATGTGTTGATTGTCCTGGGGCTACCGTTCTTTACCCTATGCTACTATCTGGCGCCTTACAGCAAGGTGGGTGAGATCGCCTATAATCACTGCAATACTAGTCTGAGACGTTTTGTGACAAAATATGTTATTTCAATTGGTAAATGGCTATTATTGGTGTAGCCTAGATCCCTTCTTCACTTTTGTAACTAGATTTTCAAAAAAGTTACCCACTTATGTTTTCCTCTAGTTTAATTTTTTCTCTTTTCTTTTTGCTCTACTCTCTCTCTCTCTCTCTCTTTCTCTCTCACCCTCTCTCTCTCTCTCTCCTTCATCTTTTTTAATTTCTTCTTTCTCTTTCTCTCACTCCCTCTTCATGTTCACGTTCTTGTTTTCGCTGCTTAGTAAATTCCTCGTATTTGATTCCGTGATAACCTGAAGTGCTTTAAAAAAAGGGTCCCTTGCATAGATTCTTTACTTTACGTCGAAAATAATGTAACTCCAGATATCAAACCTTTAGTAAGTTTCAGCTAACACCACTTATCAGAATCGCGTATTTGAATGTAACTTGTCGGATTGTTTGAGTTGACTATCGTCATCATGGTCATATTTATGACTGCAAGCGGCTCCTGAAAAGAAAGAAGCAATCAAAAATATCATCAAATCTAATTTAATGTCGTTATCCTTATTTTAATAAAGTGCAATTGCATACTTTGGTGTCAGCAGACAGGTCAGATCATAATATTAATAGTAAGTCCCTTCTCTTTCACAGCTTGGTGAGTTCGTGAGCAGTCCTCTTGTCAAGTTCATCCTCTACTCCGCCTCATATTTCGTCTTCCTCCTCGTCATCTTCATCGAATCCCTCTACGCCCAAACCTACCAGAACTCGTTCCATGAGGAGAAAGAGGGAAAACTGACATCCCTCTTGCGAGAGCGACTGAACACCACCTCTGACACGTGTCTCTCAATCTTTCCGGATTTGGAAGATGAAAACTATGTGATAAGGCTCCGTTTCTTCGCTCTCACGCCCCTAGAGATCGTCATACTGATATTTCTCATGGGTATGTTTAAGAAACATTTATATCAGAAAAAGAAGAATAAAAACTTCTATCATTAAGTCTTCCAACCTCTTCGCATGATAAACAATTATCATTATAACGTTGAGATCATATTCAAGCAAACATTTTTCATGATCATCCAAAATCGTTACGTGTCTTTCGAGTTAAAAGACCTTCACTTTAATATAAGATCCTGCAATTGCCGTGTTTGGGCACTGTCTTGATGTAGCTTTAGACACTCAGTGAGGAACTTTGTCTATCTGGGATTTCTGGCTCACGCTAGAGAAAGAGATTGGTGTCACTGTACTTGATAGAGTAATAGGTCCATACTGTTACACTCCTCCCCATTATGACAGGTTTTTATCATAGGCTTTGCTAGATCATTATGAAAGGGGATGGGCCAGTCGGCATAAATTTGTTGACATATTAGCCACATGTTTTCGACAAAAAGGGCTCTCACACTTTTCAGCTTTTCCTAGAAAAGTCCTAACAGACGTTTAAAAAAACTACAACGAGCCACGAAAAAGGAGTTGACCGAGGGTACACAAATTCAGAATTCACTGCAAAGAATTTTCGAATTGGATTTCTTACCGGGTGAAAAAAGTAGCTGTCAATGGAAAGAATTTAGGGTCTCTGTAGCACCAATGTCAATCTTACTGTATCGTGTTAACATTCAGAAAGCTGGTGGTCGAGTGACACATCATTGCGCTTCTCTCAATTATGACAGAGTTTCTATAGAGTGAAATCAACCAGCTCTTGGCCTCCATGACGTTAAAGGGATCGTTTAACAATGTTGAATCTGAGATGCACGGCCCCACCTGTTACCAGTGTCTGTGATGTGGTGTAATATTGAAGCTCTATAAAAGAAATTGCGCTTCAAAATTATCATGAAGTGCCTTGAGTGACAGGTTTTATCATACTCACCCCCCCCCCCCCCCAATAGACTGGAGTGTTATAAACACCGATAATAAAAAGGTTTTTTGAAATTTCGATTTCCAGTCATAAATATCTTGATAATCAGGCAGGCGATCGGCTTGTAAAAATCATGAGATTCCTGACTAACCTTAAGGTTTATAATCATGATTGCATCATGAGCTAAATCTAGGATTTTGTTTCAGAATCTGAGGCAATATAATCGAGTCACTTTAAGGTCAATCGTGTTGTGTCATGTTAAAGTCGTGAACGTGATCGGATGGCCATGATTATATCGTTACAGTGATTACAAAGCCTCTTGATAAATAAACCTTAATCAACTTCAGTAAACTTGCTAATCCTCTTTTGTGATCTGCGAGCAATATTATATCATTCGAACATGAATTGTATAGGTAATTTTACAGTGGATATTGAATTAACCTTGAGATGAATTCTCCAAAAAGTTTGCGATCCCGTGTTCTTGTCTCCACAATAGGTTCTAAGGAGTGTATTTAAACAGTTGTGGGCCGAAGAACTGCAAGCGAAATTGACGTCAAGGTCAATCGTGTAATATCTTATAAACACGCTGAAAGTGGTCGGATAACATATCATAATGGAAATGATTATACACTCGTATAGAATCATTTATAATAATAATAATAATAATAACCTAGGCTTCTATAGCACATTTCATCTTCAGAGAAAATAACAATGCGCTTTAAAACAACAAAATCACCGGAACTACTTATTCATGACCTAAAGAAATATCAATTACCAATATAAGGACAAGATTAATAATAACCAATCATAATGAACATCAATTACAGAGAAATGAAAGCAAATTATGACAAAGTACAGTAATGTAATGAAATTTTGATGAATACAATAATGCAATCATTACGCTTCTCTCCATTATGCCAGGGTTTCTATGGGGTGAAATCAAGCAGCTGTGGGCCGAGGGACTTCAGGCTTACCTGGCGTCTGTATGGAACTGGATTGACATCGCCATGTTGAATCTATACCTAGCCTCGTGCACACTCAACATACTCAGTGTGACCAGAGCCTCTCTGGCTATAGACTTCTTCATGACCAATGTAAACGCGCCTTGTCTCTATAAAAATGGCAACGACCCGATAGCCAATAGATACTTCTACTTCTTGCAGAGAGGTAAGCCTTTCTCCTTCGCATTTGACCCTCTCAAGTATATTTACAATGTCTATCATTTTGTTCATCCTCTCCATGTCATTTGTTTCCCATTGATTCTATGGTTTACCGATGATCGTTAGGTGGGAAAAGTGCCCTCTCAAAGGTGAAATGCCTCTTGCGATAAACAAAAAGTAATGAGATTCAAAACTGAGTATGAGAGTACTGTTTTACTCCTACTTTTCCTCTCCGATACTTTTCTACATATCCACTCTTTTTATTCTTTTCGCTCGGCATGCATCTGCATCTCTGACTTATTCAGCTCATAGCTTGTCTATATAATATTCCTCAATGATTATATCATGTTTCTATAAGCAAAAGATGATTAAAATAATGTGTATTCGTATTCGTAAACGATAAGTCTCACGCAAACACCATTCTGGTTTTATTTAAACAAAAATATTTGTGATAATAAATATTATTGAAAACGGTAGTTTTACACTAACATGGCCAAATCTTCCAAAAAGACGCATACTTCAATTCCGATCAAATTTTGGCTTATCGTCATTAAACTGTGATATACTCTTTCAGGAAGCTCCTTAAACTTTTGGCTTCGCTATATTCCGTTATGAAACCAATCTGAAATTTACAAATTCATGATATCCGTCCATATTTCGCTTCTCGACTCTCTAAAAACGGAATCTAAAATTATTTCATAAACCTTTTAAACATTGCTTTTGTCTGTAAGTTCTGGAAAGAGCTTATTCTATGACAGAGAGGTTGTTCTTTCCAAAGCTATATCTTGCCAGAAAGGGCGAAAAATAATGTCACCACGGACACTAGTCTTTTTAAAGCTAATGAATTGGACCAACCCTTTGTCTTTTAGAACGGTCAATGTGGCACAACGATGATCCCGTCTTTGTCTCCGAGGCCCTGTACGCCCTCGCCAACGTACTCAGCTTCTGTCGTCTCTCCTACATCTTACCCGTCAGCGAGTTCCTTGGACCGCTCCAGATCTCCCTGGGTCGGATGCTCGGAGACATCCTCCGTTTCGCTGTCGTCTTCATCGTTGTCTTTCTCGCATTCTTCTGTTCCATGTTCAACCTCTACTATTCCTACGAAGACTCCAAGTTTGGCAAGTATGTAACCATGCACGAGCAGAGGGCATAAGGATTTAGTCTCTTCTTTTATTGTCTTTCTGTTTACAATACAGTCAGATCATGAACAAAATGAAGGCCATTTGGACTATTCTGCAACCTAATCGTAAAATCCACTAACAATTACTAAACTGAATTTTGCAAATTAGGAACGTTGTATAGGCCTAATCAGTTTTGTGTTAAAGGCCCACTGCACTACGTGTAGATACTTGCACCCTCTATATAACAAACAATGCCTAATCGGTGACCATTGGTCCCCCATGATCCTCTTTTTCTTATGTTAACTGAGAGCTGAGTTGATGAGATAACCACCTGTCCAGTGACCTTGCAGGGCAGTCTAATCCCTCCTGTAAACTACGGCAGATAAGCTTTAAAAGATGGAGTCGCCGATTTAAGAAATATCATGTGAGGCAAGCTCACACCTCCACATCCGTCCTCGAGTAGATTTTAAACGAAACTGCAACAGGAGTAATTTCGATAGTTCCCGATAGAGGGACAAAATTCCCATATAAATTGTGATACACATCGAAATTGCGGGATATTTCAAGCCTTCGGATCGGAGATAAGACCTGTCCTGTTAAGAATCGCAGTGACCAGGGCCCTATTTCATAAAACTTGTTAACAATAATAAGTTACAATTACTGTTATAAGATACTGAAGTCATGTCATTTGGTTGGCTGAGAGCCATGGAAATTTAGAATAAAGATCTCGGACAGATAGAATTAATCATCATAAATTTCAGTTGATCATGACCATTTCTTTTTCTCTTGTTGTTTCTATTATGAACCATCCTCTCAGTTTTGGTCAGGCGTTCTTAACCCTGTTCTGGGCTCTGTTTGGCCTGGGTAACCCTTCCGACCCCAGGCTTCGTCACAACATCACCACCGGCAACGCGACCCTGGAAGCCGGTGGTAAGGGAGGGTACCTCATCACCGAGTCGTTTGGTACCATGCTCTACATGATCTACTATGTGGTGATGGGTTTAGTCATGCTGAACATGCTCATTGCCATGATGAGTAACTCGTTTCAGGAGATCAATGTGAGTTCACCACCGAGATGCAATATCACCATAATTATAGAAAAATATTGGAGTATGTAGTGAGATCAGTGAAACCACCAAAGTGCGATGTCAACGTGCATTTTGATATATTTCCATACATTTTCACAACATTCACTTATTCAACGTCTGAGAAAAGAATTTACATCTTACTCAATAATAAAACGTTAATCAATACCTCAGTCACACTGTCAAACCGACTCTTAACCGACCGATCTTTAAACCATTAGGTGAAAAATAATAATTTGCTTGGTCTCTTGTTAGTCTCTTGTCAGTCTGGTGTCGGTCTGGTGTCGGTCTCGTTGGGATGACTGAGGTATAAGATTCAGGTCTAAAAGACATCAGTATTTAAAAACTCCGTAAAGGATATGTTGTATTTCTCTTTGCCCATTTTGTCATTTTGTTAATTAAATTGCCAGCATAATTCAATTTTATGTTGGTAAACATTACGTTTTGTCTTATAAAATTGCAGAGTGAGCAAGACGTGGAATGGAAATTTGCCCGAGCTCAGCTGTGGATGTCGTATTTTGAGAAGGGCGCCACCATTCCCGTGCCTTTCAATATTATCCCGTCACCTAAATCATTCATCCATCTTTATAAGTGGGTAGCCAGGCGGGTGACGAGGTTTCGACAAGGGTCACCGTCAAGAGACAACAACCAGGTGCCACTAGGAGAAAGGGTAAGGATTTACCCCCCCCCCCCCCCCCAGTCACACCGCCAAGCCGATCGATAATCAACAAAAAAGAGGCCCTTAACTTGTGGTTGTAGAAATATAGATGGTAGTTTACAAAAGAACCAAAATTAATATACACATGCTATAGGGGAAATAAAAAAGATGCTTACTGAGAGTGTTCTGTGACTTTTGTGACAAACTGCATTTGTCATAGAATGTAAGGAAGAAAAGAGAGATGATTATTGAACATTTACGATTACTTTGTGACAGATAGCTTCTTTTCTTTTGCCACAGAGAAATGGTGTTTTCAACATCCTGAATCGACTAGAGCTGCGACGTGAAGAAAGCACGCATGAGGTAAGAGTGTATTCAACTAAAATGATCGCAAGTACTTTCGAAGAAAAAATAATCAGCTTTGGGGCAACTTCGACACCATGTTGTATAACCATATTGAAAATCATTTACGTCGTTGTAATGTTCGCGCATTTTTACAGGTATTCTACAACATGATCAACGGTATCAAAATCGCCCTAAGTTGATTTTTCAAAAGTAACTAATTGCCCTTAATCCCCGATTATCCCCTTCGTCTCTTTCCATCTTTCTCCCTTTCTGTTCTTATTCTTCCTATTCCCCAGACCTATCTCTTTTTTTTTCCTTTTCTCTTTCTCATTCCTACAGCCCTAGAGGCTCCCGGTGGACTTCTATAATCCAACATTTGCTCTGGCGACATTTATGCATGGCTTTATTACTTCAAAGATAATCTGTTCCGACCTAGAAGGGCGCTTAGTCTGTATAAAGAAAAATGAGATAATGCCATCCTGTTTCCAAACAGACGATATAGGGCTAGGGTTACGATTGGGTTTAGGTTCTGATTTGTGTTAAGTTTCGGGTAATTATTATGGGGACCTATATTGTTGTGGCTAGATGATTTACGCTACTCCCCCAGGTCTTTAAACAAGGACCTGTATACTTTGAGAAAAAACTACTTTAAGGTGGTAAATTTTGTTTTTTATTCTACTTACAGAGTATTACGAAAGGCATCATCAAACGGTATCTCTTCAAACTCCAGAGGGACAAAGAAAATGACGAGGTGAACGAAGGTAAGTGTCCCTTTTCCCCCCGCCCCCCCCCCCCCCCCCCCCCACTCAGTGTTATTTAGGGTACGCATATGCGTGTTCCCTCCTTTTGAAACACCTCCTAAGTCCGGTGTGTAAAGTCAATTTTGTGTACTACGAGCTGGATTTTGGTGCGTGAAAAGTACCCCTTTACCGGATATTTTGGTAACTTGATGCGGTCATTCCGACCCCGGAGTGGGGGGGGGGCGAGCTTTCTCCTCTCTGTTGATTAGAGATAATTTGTGTAGAGAATGTGATTAGTAATTTATTGCTTAGGTTTTATGAGGAAAGATATCAAACGAATAATCAGAATATTGGAATTACTATACCTTGGAGGTTAACCTCTAGGATTATCATCTCTTCTAAGAAAAATTGATGCCTCCGAATAACAAACGAACATTCTTGTATACATGTATACTCATAGCTTAGCTAGTTACCCATATGACAACTATAGGCCTACCCTTGATAATCAATAGTGGTAGTATAACTGTATATAATGAGTAATGTGCGGATTCCCAATGGTTCTAGTAATTGTCCGGACAGGATCAAGATATCAACCTAAAACACCATGAATGCCCCATATTCCACTTATCGTTCACCTTAGTGTAATACTGTCATTATTGATCCTTAAATGGAAGAAGGTAGGGTGAGAAAACGGGTTGGGTCATTACATCCTGCTTTCTATCTTCAATTATCATTCCACTTACAGGAGAACTGGATGAAATCAAGAATGACATATCTAGCCTTCGATTTGAGCTTATGGAGCAGTTACGAACCCCGAAGACTCCGGGTGCACCCATAGCCCAACCCAACGCTCCAGCATTCACCTTCTCTTTCCCCAGTGCGGCGGCTAGCACAACGCCTCCAAAGGATTCCAACATTAGCTTAGAGATTAACGCTCTTAAGACAAAAATAACAGAACTTACCAGGCACATAGAGACACTTACTAACGTCACGTTATCGCGGCAAGTTGTTGCTCATAACAACAGTAGCAGAAGTGTGTACGAGAGGGCGGGCTTTACAGATCTGGACATGCATCGCGGTAGCTCAAACAGCTTGAGGACAATGGAGGACAGTAAGCTGGAGTACAACCTGCAAGGCAGACGTGACTCTTCTCCGAGAGTACTAGACGTTGGGGATATCGCCTTTAGATACGATGATAGTGAGCGTCAACAGAATGCGCTGGTCAGACACCCTGATCGGAGTGGAAGGAGAATGAGTGCCGATGGTGGTGATATACGGCGCGAATCATTGCAAAGGGCGTACGATGTGACCGACATTATTGGATACGGCGATCACGATAAACAACAATATAATAATAATAATCCAAGACCAGGTTATGGTAGCAGAGATCACACCGCCGTAAACAGGCGACAGTCGAAACCATCACAGGGTGGCAGGAGTGGGATGTCTAATGAACCTGATAAACGGAGTATTTCCAGGACACTCAGCCGCGGCAGCATCCATGTTGGTTTCGACCTCGAGACGCGTCACGATCCCGTCTTACGTGTTGTTGATGAAGACACGGCGAGGATGGACTTTGAACCTGACACATCATCATCGCACAACGTGCACCACAGAGCACCTGATCTGTCAGGGACTGGCCAATCACGTGAATTTGAAAGTAGTGAAGGAATGCGAGGTAGCGAAGAGGGCGGTGTTTCTTATGATTTTGACGAGCATCGTGCTGACGGCGTATTTAGGAGAGGTGTGGGGAATGGAAACACAAGAGCACGATACACACAAGAGGAAGACGCTCTAGGTATGTCGATGGGACATTATAACATTGCCTTCTCTTTAGATACCTGAAATAAAATTCTACTTACTTGGAAGTGTGGTGTGTGACTCTCAACCTAAGGCCTTTGAGGGACCGAATCTTAGCCCGGCACTAGCGTCTCTTGGCAAGACGTTAATTTTTCATCTGTCACACCCCACCCAGATGTATCTGGCACTGCGGGATAATAATAACTGGCATGATCTGCAGAAGATGCAGCATCGATCCTGATCATGATGTGACGTCTCTAGGTTTAAAAAAGACCCAATTATCATTCTTCAAGGCTGAACAACTTTCATGACGTTAGCAATGTTCATGGTATTCATCGTCGATACCCAGGGAGATGAGACTCACCTCCCTGTGCTATATTACCATTTGATTTATACAGTAGGCTTCATGGCACAGCCAATTAAACGGAAACAATCATATTTTGTTGGTGAAGAAAGTGATATTTTGCTTAATTTATCTAGTTAAGTCATTAATGATCATTATGATTCTACTTCAAATTGTCTGTGAATAAGGAGAGTAATATTCGTAACTGTATTATTCATGTTGCTATATGACAAAGAAGAATATGTTATATTTAATAATCTTTTGAATTTGATATGAGATAAAAAACACTTTGGAAAAACTGGGCTAAAAAGAACTTAAATCAGAATCAGAATCATGGTGACTCTAATAAAGAGGAAGTTAAAAGGTTTATATAAGAAATCTCTTGATAATCGGGTTTTCTCTTCATAATTTGTAACGAAAATATCTTTTCAGAAATTATTTACTCAGAAAATGTTTGTTGAAAGAAAGAAACGAAATGAAATGTAATTTGAAATAATCGTACTTTGGACAAAATGGCGGGAAATGACCTGTCTATAAAACTTGTACTGTGCATCGATTGTGTTCGTCTGTATCGGGACTCATCCCCAGGTCTACTTAGATTTCGTTTGGAATTGGGCGTGCGGCTGCATGAAGCCTCCAAACTGAAACTTATTTTTAAAGGGTCATTCTGGCAGTAAAATATACCCATTATTAGGGACTTCCATTCCAAGTGCAATTATTTTTGGAACTATGATTTGTAATTTAGCATGAATATGGGTGAGGTATTATTCTTAAGAAAATAGTGACCCATGTGCAACAGGCGCGGATCTACGGGGGGGTTTAGGGGGTTTAACCCCCCCCCCCCTTGGGCGGCCCCCCCCCCCCAAAAAAAAAGGGGAAAAAAAGGAAAAAAAAAAGAAAAAAAAAGAAAAAAAGAAAGAAAAAAGAACGCACGCTGGAGAGAAACCCTTTCAAGTGCAAATATTGTAAGAAGATATTCAACTCATCTGGTAACTTAACCAAACACATGATAACTCTGGATATAACTGTGTATTTACTGTTACTTGATTTAAAAAGACGTTATCATGCACTGCTTTTTATGGTCTCCATTGTGTTAATAGATGCCAGGAAAACATCACTTACGGAGTTCAAATAAACACCCAAAAAAAAATCGGCTCGCCGCTTCGCGGCTCGTGGACGATGCTCCGCATCGTCAATATTTTGGTCAAACCCCCCCCCCTTAGCAAAAAGCTAGATCCGCCCCTGTGCAAGGCCAACGTCTAAAAGTGGGGCCATTTCAGGAAAAAGCGACTTCTTGCAGCGGTAATTCTCCGTATTTAAACATAATTAGGAGGGTACCCAACCCCCCTCATAACCACTCTGAACGGAGTGAATTTGTATTTTATTAGACTGAAAGCAAGAAGATCGCGGAGACTTTAGAAAAATCAACTCCAGGGCACTTTCAGTAAACCTTTATAATATACCTTAGAAATCATGCTCATATAATTACACAGCATGTCATTGCAATGTTTGCACATTAGAAAAAGCGTTGGACAGGGCTATGGAAATTAACTTTTTTTGTAATTGATTTTTTTTAATGTCTTTGCGATCGTTTTAACACATTTTTTTATGCCGGTATTCAGGTATGTGGAATATTTTGTTAACTACTTGTATATACTCAGATTTGAAAAGAATCTGACTATCAAGATTATAAAGAATTAATTTTATTAAACTTGGCCCTCAAATGATTAATTCACAGCTGTAAAACACGACAATCCCAAACGTTCTAGAGTCAGTTTCGATGGATTAATAGTGTTGTGTTTATAATGACTAGTGTCAGTGGATAAAATTGCCGAGTATGAAATTTGGGCTAAACTAGAGACTTGGGACGCGATGGAACCTTGTGCAATGTTTGTGTAACCATTAAATCATTCAAAGTTGTTTAAGATTGAGTAACTTTGTGCAATACAATGTAGGCCTATAACCAACGAATCATTGTTAAATGTAAAAGAGATCATAATATCATTTGCGACATTCAAAGGAAACGCCGCATATTTGAGATTTTATTTACTTTTACATTCCACCTCTTGATAAATAAGGCTTGTTTGTAGGGATATAAAGTGATTACAGGGTTAAAAAAATATACAGTTTATATTAAGTGTACATCGTTTTATATGCACTCCATATTCTGCAATTTGTTCTAATACTGTACTTTTCTTTTCCTTTATCCCTGAATAATGTAATGAAAAGTGTAATGCATTATGTAAGCCCATAACAGGGCCCCAGTGGATCGACGTCACAATAAAATGTAGTACATAATAAATTGGTTACACAAACCAATATGGACTATCTGTTTTGTTACCCCATGAATCGCAGACAAACGCTTTGAACCTTGTGAATGACTGCATGACTTGGGACGATTACTGAATGGCACTGTGTTCATAACGTCGAGCTGAAAACGAGTGGACGATTAAATGATTAATAAATGGACACTTATTTTACACTCCGGAAGTTAGACGCTGTTTTTCCGTACTTTACTTTCTTTCCTTAAAACCTGTCTGGCAGGCAGGGAAGAGAGAGAGGGAGAAGGTGAAGGGAGGGAGAGAGACAGAGACAGAGAGAGACCACCCCCCCCCCACACACACACACACACACACACACGCACACACGCACGCGTACACACACACATATATACAAGCACGCACACCCAAACACACATGGTCATGCCCCAAATTATCTTTCTGAACTGATTCAGTTATACACACCCAATAGGCCCCTTCGTTCTGCAAATCAAACTCTCTTGACCGTTAAAAAAGCAAAAACAAAATACTTTGGTGATAGGTCCTTTTCATGCTCCGCTCCACGTTTGTGGAATTCTCTTCCAGTCTCCATTCGTTGCATCTCTGATATTACTTTGTTTAGATCAAAATTAAAAACCTACCTAATGGAAAATGCATATTCAACCTAGTTCTTAAATTGTTACCTTACTTTGTTTTCTTATGTTTCATAATTTCACTTTAAATTTGTTCTCTTGTCATTGCTCTGTTTAGTTTTAATTGTATCAATATTGTAAAGCGCTTTGATATAAATGTCTTATGCAAAGCGCTATATAAGTAAAAGTTATTATTATTATTATTATCCCTCCAGACACACACACACATTAGTTACCCTCCCCGATTGCCAAAATCCTGGAACCCCCTTCCCCTGCTGTAACGTCAAAATACATGTATTGGTGTTGTTTCGTATGGAAGCAGGACGCTCTCCTAGACTCACCCGACGTCATTCCTTAAGACTTTTGTTGAAATCTTTGTATAAGTTGCTCCCTCCCGTGCCAAAATAACATGATTTCGGAAACCCTGCCGGCCCTCAAATGCCTCTCCGAATAATATATTACACATCTTTTCCGAAAAAAGCCTCTTTATCAATATTTCCCTCACTGGTGAGGATCTCACCGTTTCGGCCCATTCAAAATTCTATAGGATGAGCTAAATTCATATGATGTCATGAAGGGAGAAAATGAAATGAGGTAACATTACCCGATCAAATGCGACGATAGAACTCTGAATGAAGTTAAAGAATTATATTTTGTTCTTCATATTTGTAATCGTTGTAACAATAGTGTGCATTGACAGGTCGGGGTTCCCAGAATTTTTGGGCGGCTGGTTCGCTAATTTCCTATTTTGTTTTGCTCCCGAAAATTTGAAAATCGTGCCGGCCGATAATTCGCTCAGTTGGGGGGGGGGGGGGGGTAGTGAGCACAATTTTTGGGGGGTCGTGAGTTTGAACCCCGGCCGAGTCATACCAAGGAGCAGTTTCATAACTGAAGTGGCTACCATGGGTAAATAAAACGTTATTATTATTTATTTTTTAAGATAGTTAAATACCTTTAAACAGCAACCAAGGCTGTCATCCCGTTCTAAGTTGAATTGCATAAAAATTCGCTCTGTTGATAATTGTTCCGCTGGACACGGTCCTGTGGTAAATGTTCAGCATCAAAAAAAAAATATTCAAGCCCCTCATTCTTCATCACAAATAATCATCATAAATAAAATATGTAAAAGCGATGCACGAGTAAAGATTGAGTGCAGATTTGGTCAGATTTATTCATTAAGCCTTTGCAGGAGCAAATATGGAATAAAGAACACGTTTTTCTTAAAATGGATATTTTCTTCATTAATAATTGGATAAACGATTAAAAAAATGGAATTAGACCTGGCACCCTCGAACCTATTCGCATCATCCAGAACTGATATGGATGCGAAGATGTATAATCCGAGCTTATTGAGAAACCGCGCGCATCACAAATCGAGGTGTGTTAGCGTTTGGCGTTCACTACCAAACCAGCATCAACCGCTCTCCGTGATTAAACGTCATCCCCATTCTCTTCATTTCAAGAACAGATCTCGTCAATATCACACCGTGTCAGCGTTCAACTCGTCTTTAAACAATGAACACCTCATCAGTAGTCAACGCGAGCGATGATGATACCAACATTACGATGTCGCCGATGACGGCCGACTACGACGACGGCGGTGGGTCCAAACCGTCGTGTCAAATGCCTATCTATTACATTCAACTCATCATGTTTGCCATTGCGATGTCGATGATGGTCGTCACGGTCATCTTGATTCCGTGTCATCGTCGACTTCGTAAGCAACATCATATCTTCCCTTACAACCTCGTACTCTCTGATCTGAGCGGTGCCATCGCGCAGGAATTTTTCTATTGTATCAGTGGAAACACCCCCTCAAAGGTAAGACATTCGATTATTATTGCCCTTCCATGAAGAGAGTTGATTTGGTTATGTAGGTAACATACGTTACCAACTACATAGGGGTTGGCCTGTAATTACTTACAAAGTTAGAAAAAATGGAAAATACTAGGAAATACGCCAAAAACATTATTTTAAAACATTATATAACCATGTTTAGATTATTTAACATGAATAAATATTGGACACAAAATGACAACGAAACATGACTTCAGTCATGGTAGGGAGAGGGGGTGATCCAACTGCTTGAAATGTTAAATTCCGCGAACGTTATATGGCTTTTAAGCTAACATGTTAAAGCTACATGTACAAGAATATCTTGTACGGTGAAGGTGACATATTCCACTGAAATGGGAAATATTTTTTTTTTTAAAGCAGATTTTTGCACTCTCGCAAAAACGATGCCTCCTGTTCATCCAAGCGTGAACACATACCACACAGAAAGGATACCAAATTATTTGGGATAAAACACTCTTTCAAAAGATGTATAATGTACTGTGCATTGATGATCCTTAATATAATTAGCAATTTTCTAGGTGTAAACTTTTTGTTGACTCACACTCTATATCTTAAATGTTAATAAATTCGTAGACATTCTGTCTGATTTATGTAAAACAGATTTAACAAAATATAAGCTATTCGTTTGTTGAGCTAGTTGTTCGCACTAGTTGTAAGTTTTAGTCATTGTCGCTATTAAACTGCGATCCTTTTCTCCCTTTCCAGACACATACTTTCATGTTAATCTTCTGGTTAACATCCATCATGGTATCATTTCTAAGCATCGCCTTGGTAACCGGTTACCAATTCATCACCATCCGTGTAGACCCCTTTGGCTCTCGGAACATCATCACCCCACCGCGACTGATCATGACATGTATCGTGACATGGGCATTAGGGTTCACCTGCTCCTCGTCCATTGTCTTCATCGACTTTGATAAGATCTCCATCGCTATCCTCTCCTTCTCCTGGTTGACCACCGTCGCCACTGGCCTATGTTACATATTCATCTACCGTTCTGTATCCGGGGTACCATGTGGCGGCAACATCACCCAAGAGCGTAAGGAGGAAAACCAGCGAGTACTCCGCG